TCATAAAAAAAACACATTAATCTGCAAGAAATTCATTACATGTGTCTTCAAGTTTTTTTTTAGCTCCCAGTTAGCTGGATATTCCTTTGATGACAGGCTTCCCTTGTCACCTCCTTGCCTCTCCCCTTTGTATCCATTGAGTTCTCCCAGACTCCTCTTTGCAACACTCGCTTCTCCCAACTCCTCTGTCTAAGCATTTAATTCTCACCTCATTCAACAGACTCTTGCTTCTACCAGCCTCACTCCACAAACTGTCTACGATGCATCCCCAGCATCACTCCATACACTTCCCATGCCCCAATACTCCCAAATTCAGCCTCAACTAGCAGACTTGCCTCCCCTGGCCTTTCTGCAAGATAAAATAATAGTACACTGTGGAAGCAGGCCATTGAGTCCATACTGACTCTCTGAAGAACATCCCAACCAGACCCAACCCCCTTTCCCGTCACAAGGACAATACAAGTAACAATAAATCATTCAGTTCAGTTCAGTTCAGAGTGATGCCAACAGTATGGGTTCAATCCCTGCACCAACTGAGATCACCATGAAGGACTCTGAGTCTTAACCTCTCCCTTTGCCTTAGGTATACTGACCCTTAGATTATATCACCACTAGCAGTCTCACTAATGAGAGCAGCCCTTTGGTCCACTAGAGCTATGGTGATTTTACCTTTTTATGGTATTTCAAGTATTCTTCTAAATAGTTCTTAGATGTGATGGCTCCTGATCCCCCATCCTTTAAAGCAGTGAGGACCAGCAGCCCACCACTCTATGGAACTCTGTGGAGCCACTCTCTATATAAAGAAAATCCTTAAACCCTCTAAATCTCCTTCCCCTTACCCTAAGTCAATACTACCTGGTTTTTGACCCCTTCACTAAGGGGAAAATTTAGTCCTATTTACACTCTGTAAGACCCTTGTAATTTTGTACATTTCACTCAGGCGTCGCCTCACCTTTCCCTTCTTCAAGGAAAACAACGCCAGCTTAACTAGTCTCTCTTCATAGATGAAATGCTCCAGCTGAGGCAATATCCTGGTAAATGGTCTCTAAACCACTCCAATACGATCACACCCATCCTGTAGTGCAGAAACCAGAACTATACATAGTACTCCAGCTGTGGCAATGTCTTATACAGCTCCATCATAATCTCCTTGCCCTTATATTCAATGCCTTGACTAATGAAGATAAGTATCTCATATGACTTCTTAACCTTATCCTCCAGCCTTCTTCCCTGGATATTGTCCAGGACTTGCTAAATTTGAGCACAGACAGCTTCAGTATCTGAAAAGTTGCGGATGGTGCTGAATATTGTGCATTCATTAGTATATATCCCCACGTCCAAATGCAGCAACACCTAGACAGTATCCAAGTATGAGCTAAAAAGTGGCACATAATATTGGTGCCACACAAATGCCAGGCAATGGCCATCTGCAAGAACAAAGAATCTAGCCACTGTTCCATGACATTCAATAGCAACAGCATCGCTGAATCCCATGCCATCAATATCCTGGGGTTTACAGTTGACTAGAAACTTAACTGGACTAGACACATCAATACAATTGCTACTAGAACAGGTCAGAGGCTAAGAATGCTGCTATGAGTAACTCACCTTCTAACTCTACAAAGATTGTCCAACACCTACAAGGGACAAGTCAGGAATGTGATCAAATACTCCCCACTTGCCTGGATGAGCACAGCTCCAACAAGATGGAGCTTGACATCATAAAGGACAAAGCAGCCCACTTGGTTGGCACCACATCCACATACATTCATTCCTTCCAGAACCAACACTCAGTAGCAGCAGCGTGTACCATCTACAGAAATGCAGGAGTTTACCAAGCCTCATTAGACAGTACATTTAAAACCCACGACCACTAAATCAAGAATGGTAGATATATTGGAAGACCACAATGTCCAATGTCCAAAGTTCCCCTCCAAGTCACTCACCATCCTGACTTGGAAATATATGGGCATTCCTTCAGTGTCACTAAATCAAAATCCTGGAACTCCCTCCCTAAGGCCATTGTGAAGGCATTGACACAAAACACTGGTTAGGCTACAATTGGAGCACTGCATGCAGTTGAGCTCACACAATGGGAAGGATGCAATTACTGTAGAGAGAATGCAGAGGAGATTTACTGGAATGTTTCAAATAAATGTAAAATATTGCAGATCCTGGAAAGTGGAAATAAAAACAAGAAGTGCTGGAGAAACTCAGCAGTTCTGGTTGCATCTGTCAAGAGAGAAACAGAGTTGGCACTTTGAAGAAGAGTAATGTCAGACTCAAAATGTTAACTCTTTCTCTCTCCAGATGCTGCCAGACCTGTTGAGTTTCTCCAATACATCCTGTTTTTACCAGAATGCTGCCTGGGCTGGAATGTCTGAGCTATAAGGAAAGATTGGATAAGCTGGGGCTGTTTTCCTTGGAGCAGCAAGCTTTGCAAGGGGACCTGGTAGAGGGGCATAACATTATGAGGGGCATAGACAGAATGGATTGGACAGCACTTATTCCAATAGTACAGGGATTAAAAATGTCTGTCTCTATGTGTTTGGGGCGGGGTGAGGGGTGGGAGGTGTGCATAGATTCAAAGAAATAGGTAGAAGGCTAAAAGGACAGTTAAGGAGAATTCATTTTCACTCAGAGGTTGGTAGGAACCCAGAATTCACTGTCGAAAAGGGGAAGGGTGGTTGAGACAGAAACCCTTGTAACATTTAAAATATTTAGATATTCACTAGCGTTGCCATAGCCTCCAGGGCAATCCAAAAGCTGTAAAGCTAAATTAGTGCAATCAGGTCTTTGTTGACCAGTACAGACATGATAGGCCAAATGGCCTCTTTCTGTGCTATAAATGTCTATGAGCCTCTCAGACTCCCTCACCAGATACCAATCACGGTATACTCGTGGTTTGTCTCCATGTTCCAGCCCATTTGCTTCTGGCTGTTCCTTCCCACCCCTGACATAGTTGAATGAATTCAGGCCAGTGATAGACTCTCCACTTCTAACTGCCCAATCCACATCACCTTCCCCCACCCCCACTTTTGGAGGAAGGGAGCATTAATATCTGTATATTACTGGAACATTTGGACCAGATAATGTTACAATCAATGAATTCCCAATGATGTTGATGGTGATGGACTTTGGATAATGGTGGCATTGAAGGTAGAGTCAGGTGTTTGAGCTGCTTGTTGTTAAGATAATCATTGCCTGCCACTAAATGTGGTGCAATTCATGCTTCCCAATCATCAAGCTAAGATTAAATGTTGTCTCCTTATTACCATAGGTCATCATATGCTGCTCCATTATCAAAAGAATTAAGAATAGGGCAGAACATTAAAACTGTCAATGTTACAGTCACAGTACATTTCATTGATTATGGCAAGTCATTTTTATTTCCATAGCTAGTCATAGCTGAGCGGTAACATTTGCTTCAGTGTTAGAAGATTGCTCAAACCTAGACTGGGAAGCCAATGCATTGCTACATGATCTACACTGCAGTTTTTGGATGAAGTGGTAAACTGAATTCTTACCTATGCCCTCAGGTGGATGTAAATGATCTAATAGCACCACTTAAATAGAAGAAGAGGCTCTCCCAGTCTACTCTACCTAGTGTGTGTTCTAAATATTTATTCTGGACTCAAAACATTAACTGTTTCTTTTTTCACAGATACTGCCAGACCCATTAAGTTTCTCCAGCATTGTGTTTTTTTTAAAATTCTAGCAGCCAAGTAGTTTGCTTTTTTTAAAAATGTTTGCAAACAGCTTTGTAGTCCATTTTGTTTCTTCCTATTATAATTTTTAGGGAAAAGTATCTTTGTCAGATCAGATGAAATTTCTGTTTTTGGAACACTAATGTATTTGTTTCTACTTCTTTAAAAAGAATTACTTTCATTAGAAACTCCTCCCCACTATATCCAATTTGGACTAAACTCATTCATCTGAAATTTTATCACTGTTTTTTGCTTCACAGATGCTGCCTGTCCTACCTAGCATTTCCTCTTTATATTGTAACTGATCTTAATTATTCAACTGATTTATCTGTTAACGTTTGAAACACATGAAATTATTGACATTCTACAACCTTATGACTTTCCGTTATTCTCCATTTAATTATCGACAACGTAACATCAACAGCAGTTAAAACAAATGCCCATTCCTTTTTAAACAAAACAGACAGTGAGGTGAAATCATGGTCTGCAACCTATACTAAATAGATTTAAGATGAATGAAATTCCTCTGTTCTGTGTTTTTGAAAAGTTGAAAAAAGTGGAGCAAAAACATTTGTTAGCAGCATTTCACAGCTCCAATTTCAACAAAAACACAAAGCAATTGATTACTCAGAGATAGTAAGAACTGCCGATGCTGGAGACAGAGATAACACAGTGTGGAGCTGGAGGAACAGAGCAGGCCAGGCAG